TTGTGGTTTGAATATTAATACGATTGTGGTATATGTTGGATTAAATGAATATATTCGAATTTGGTTTGAATTTTTGAAATGTGAACTACGAATGGCTTGATCCCTATTTAGGATACGTAGGCAGTCTAACGAGACGTTAGATGCAGCCATACAATAAGTGGGATTAAATAAACGAGACAAAGCTTTGATTAAGAAATTGAACTAAGAAAGGAGTTTGGAATCTTATTATAAAAGTAAATCTTATGTTATATATATATAAATTCTAGTTATAAATTGTGTGAACGTTTAATAAATGTAAGCAGGAAATTATGTAATTATGGAAATTGGACAATTGAGTTTGATCTCATCTTGGGAAATAGAGTGAACGAGAAAATATGCCCGTGCGTTGCTGCGGGACTTGAATGTATTAGTTGCAACATGCATGAATAGTTTCCACACAAAGCAACTAAAAAGACGTAGCACCTAGGAATCAATGAACAATTGAGACATCTTACTCGTATGTGAGAGTCTCAATCCCTATTGATCAAAAGTCCTATTTCTTCTTCAAATTGAATCGACATCATTGATCAAGCAATTAAACATTCCTACTGGCAAATAATCAACCCAAGAGTTGAGCAATATAGGCATTGGACAAAGGGGGCGTAATTAAACTATATAATTTAACACAACTCTTCGAATTAAACTCTATATCTAATTTACCAGAAAACTTTGTAAAAGTGACAGTTTACCTGATATGAGCACTTAATTTTCCTATGTAAAACAGTTTACCCATTTTTGATAAGTAAAATATAGCTTAAGCTTAATTTATTAACAGCTTAATGCAGTTCAAAAGTACTTCCTGTTGTGGCGAGAAGTAGAAGCTACAACCAACCCGCCTTAACTTTTTACTTTTTCCAGATGCATATGTACAGTTTACCTGCACCCTCATACCATGTGTCTTGAGCTGTTATCTATCCTCCACTTGCAGCATTTTCGCTCTTCTGCCTCGACAGCAAACGATTTCATTTGTTATCGATTAATGGAGATGTCTTCTGCACAACTGGACTACAAAGAGGGAGAAAAACAGTATTAGGAAAACACATTATACTCAAAATCATCACCATAGATATTTTCAAACAAATCACAATCCATTACACAAAGTGCATCCAACTCCAAGGCAAGAATACAGATAAACCGCCACCAGCAACCAAAACAGTTTTTTTTTTTTTTTAATGAAATTATAAACCTCTCACCCAAGCAGTAACTAGATCTATTGAACTGCGCATCTGTAAAACACATGAGTACGGATATATTAAATAGAGCAACAACACTAAATTTCTAACATCACCTGCATTCACAACATTAAGCATGTAGGGAAACTATTTCATTTCATTTTAATTTTAGGTGACACAACTGATGCAAGAAAGGGTCAAGCAAGTAGCATGGCATCAAGAATAAAGGAAGATATTTAGGATGGAACTATTAAAAGTTTCTGTAAACCATTAAATTTACACTTAGTGAGTATACCAGAAGATCTGCGTGCAACAAAAGTATGGCAACCAGGGGTCTGTGGTTGGCTGGAGAACTCTGGAGACACGAAAATCTCAGGGGTCTGTGAGTATACCAGAAAACCTCAGAAATGCATATCAGTCCAAGGTCTCAAGTTCTCAGAGTGGGGAATTACTGATTAGAACAGTTTGTCATCAAAAAAATATATTGGAGAATCAAATTGAAAAGTCCAACATAACCCAAATTTACACTAACAGATAAACAGATGCTACAGTAAAGAAAAAGAGAGCCAAGAACGGAATTTTACTTTATCTATGCTGATAACTATCTGAGAACGAAACAAAGACCAACTGGAATGCAAAAAATAATGAAGTAAAATAAGCACATGGAAGTGTTATATATAATGAAGTGAAATTATCCACTATGGTTTATTTGACATATGGATAATTTCATCTAAGAAAGAGAAATAAGCATATGGAAGTGTTATATATATATATATAGTTTTTGTTCCAATTTGTTGTGTATTGGGAAAGACAATAATGTAATTATCATTACTTATTGGTTTTGAATTTAGGTGTTCAAAGGACTTAATATTTGTTTTGGTTTGTGTAGAGAACGGAGACCTAATGGCATGTTGTTGGTTGAATGCTATATGAGAATACAGAAAGGCCAAACCTTTGGGGTTATTTTAAGTTAAAAAAAATGTTGATGCATCAAATACATTTAATGCACACTCCCAAATGCAGTCTTCATGTTCCCATCGAAACACTATACATCCAAATCCTATACTCAATTCATAAAGGTTAGCCCCATTAATTAAGGGAATATAATTGCAATATGCATAATTAGTTGATATCAACCATGTATATCTCACACAACTAAGAATGCAGGGCCAAAACCAGAGTATACTTACATAGGTGTTATTTCCTATTTACATTTTGATAAGTCTCATGTTTTAACAATCATCCAGCATCCCACTCATGGCACAATTGTTTGTGGGATGACACAACCCATGACACAACTGGAGACTAATTCTACAGAACCCATAACACAAAACAATCCAAAATTAACAGACTGCAGTAACAACATTCCAACAAAAGTAAGAAGACCAAAAAAATGATCTATTAAAGTAATTTAGTTCCATCATGCATAAACAACATTCCAACAAAAGTAAGAAGACCAGAAAAATGATCTATTAAAGTAATTTAGTTCCATCATGCATGAATCAAGGCAGTCACATAAGGCTAGTATGTATGGTAATCCAACACATTAACATAAAGCATCCAAATACAGACTCAGAATTACAAAACACATGAAAATTCAAATTCCAACGTGTTATCCAATCACCAATTTCAAATCCACCAAAACCAAAACCCAAAATCAAAAGAAGGTGATCAAATGTTTGATTTTGCTAAATATTACAAAATAAAATAAATAAAAATCTGTACAAATCAGCAGGCATACCTTGTAGCAGTGCAGGGAACAGTAGCGTAAGTTGCATCGAGGGCAGCATTAAGCACATATACTACTACCAACATCACAACCTTATTTTTTTGTGCCGATTCAAAACATTGTACTTATAAAGATTTGGTTTGAATTTTTGAAATGTGAACTACAAATGGCTTGATCCCTATTTAGGATACGTAGGCAGTCTAACGAGACGTTAGATGCAGCCATACAATAAGTGGGATTAAATAAACGAGACAAAGCTTTGATTAAGAAATTGAACCAAGTAAGGAGTTTGGAATCTTATTATAAAAGTAAATCTTATGTTTTATATATATAAATTCTAGTTATAAATTGTGTGAACGTTTAATAAATTTAAGCAGGAAATTATGTAATTATGGAAATTGGACAATTGAGTTTGATCTCATGTTGGGAAATAGAGTGAACGGGAAAATATGCCCGCGCGTTGCTGCGGGACTTGAATGTATTAGTTGCAACATGCATGAATAGTTTCCACACAAAGCAACTAAAAAGACGTAGCACCTAGGAATCAATGAACAATTGAGACATCTTACTCTTATGTGAGAGTCTCAATCCCTATTGAACAAAAGTCCTATTTCTTCTTCAAATTGAATCGACATCATTGATCAAGCAATTAAACATTCCTACTGGCAAATAATCAACCCAAGAGTTGAGCAGATATATAGGCATTGGACAAAGGGAACGTAATTAAACCATATAATTTAACACAACTCTTCGAATTAAACTATATATCTAATTTACCAGAAAACTTTGTAAAAGTGACAATTTACCTGATATGAGCACTTAATTTTCCTATGTAAAACAGTTTACCCATTTTTGATAAGTAAAATATAGCTTAAGCTTAATTTATTAACAGCTTAATGCAGTTCAAAAGTACTTCCTGTTGTGGCGAGAAGTAGAAGCTACAACCAACCCGCCTTAACTTTTTACTTTTTCCAGATGCATATGTACAGTTTACCTGCACCCTCATACCATGTGTCTTGAGCTGTTATCTATCCTCCACTTGCAGCATTTTCGCTCTTCTTCCTCGACAGCAAACGATTTCATTTGTTATCGATTAATGGAGATGTCTTCTGCACAACTGGACTACAAAGAGGGAGAAAAACAGTATTAGGAAAACACATTATACTCAAAATCATCACCATAGATATTTTCAAACAAATCACAATCCAGTACACAAAGTGCATCCAACTCCAAGGCAAGAATACAGATAAACCGCCACCAGTAACCAAAACAGTTTTTTTTTTTTTTTTTTTAATGAAATTATAAACCTCTCACCCAAGCAGTAACCAAATCTTTTGAACTGCGCATCTGTAAAACACATGAGTATGGATATATTAAATAGAGCAACAACACTAAATTTCTAACATCACCTGCATTCACAACATTAAGCATGTAGGGAAACTATTTCATTTCATTTTAATTTTAGGTGACACAACTGATGCAAGAAAGGGTCAAGCAAGTAGCATGACATCAAGAATAAAGGAAGATATTTAGGATGGAACTATTAAAAGTTTCTGTAAACCATTAAATTTACACTTAGTGAGTATACCAGAAGATCTGCGTGCAACGAAAGTATGGCAACCAAGGGTCTGCGGTTGGCTGGAGAACTCTGGAGACACGAAAATCTCAGGGGTCTGTGAGTATACCAGAAAATCTCAAAAATGCATATCAGTCCAAGGTCTCAAGTTCTCAGAGTGGGGAATTACTGATTAGAACAGTTTGTCATCAAAAAAATATATTGGAGAATCAAATTGAAAAATCCAACATAACCTAAATTTACACTAACAGATAAACAGATGCTACAGTAAAGAAAAAGAGAGCCAAGAACGGAATTTTACTTTATCTATGCTGATAACTATCTGAGAACGAAACAAAGACCAACTGGAATGCAAAAAATAATGAAGTAAAATAAGCACATGGAAGTGTTATGTATAATGAAGTGAAATTATCCACTATGGTTTATTTGACATATGGATAATTTCATCTAAGAAAGAGAAATAAGCATATCGAAGTGTTGATGCATCAAATACATTTAATGCACACTCCCAAATGCAGTCTTCATGTTCCCATCGAAACACTATACATCTAAATCCTATACTCAATTCATAAAGGTTAGCCCCATTAATTAAGGGAATATAATTGCAATATGCATAATTAGTTGATATCAACCATGTATATCTCACACAACTAAGAATGCAGGGCCAAAACCAGAGTATACTTACATAGGTGTTATTTCCTATTTACATTTTGATAAGTCTCATGTTTTAACAATCATCCAGCATCCCACTCATGGCACAATTGTTTGTGGGATGACACAACCCATGACACAACTGGAGACTAATTCTACAGAACCCATAACACAAAACAATCCAAAATTAACAGACTGCAGTAACAACATTCCAACAAAAGTAAGAAGACCAAAAAAATGATCTATTAAAGTAATTTAGTTCCATCATGCATAAACAACATTCCAACAAAAGTAAGAAGACCAGAAAAATGATCTATTAAAGTAATTTAGTTCCATCATGCATGAATCAAGGCAGTCACATAAGGCTAGTATGTATGGTAATCCAACACATTAACATAAAGCATCCAAATACAGACTCAGAATTACAAAACACATGAAAATTCAAATTCCAACGTGTTATCCAATCACCAATTTCAAATCCACCAAAACCAAAACCCAAAATCAAAAGAAGGTGATCAAATGTTTGATTTTGCTAAATATTACAAAATAAAATAAATAAAAATCTGTACAAATCAGCGGGCATAACTTGTAGCAGTGCAGGGAACAGTAGCGTAAGTTGCATCGAGGGCAGCATTAAGCACATATACTAACTACCAACATCACGACCTTATTTTTTTGGGCCTATTCAAAACATTGTACTTATAAAGATTGGCACAACCCCATTACACAAAAGATTGACACTTTTTTTCAGGCTCTGCTTAGTTTGAAAGCCCACTTCTATAGAGACTGGGATCACATATAAACACTGGAACAAAAACCTGGCAGCAATGAATGCAAAATCATTCACAACATAGAACAGAAAACAGGAACTCACACAACATGATACAAAATCCTAACATACTAATTAATACAACATTATAATCCACCATCCCATTTGTCAACATAATTCACCTCTCTGACTATCTTCCCCCTCTTTCTCACCAAACAAAAATACGCATCTTCCTCTTTTGAAAGCTGCAATTATATAATTGAAAACAATATATAATAAAAATAGAAAAGAGTGAACTCAAGATTAATAAAGGCAAACCAAAATTTAAATGTTCATAGACGAATCAGCAATGAAAATGCGGAGAATCAAATAACAAAGTTTTTTTAATTTCTTCTTGTAGCAATAGACGATCACCAAGCATTACACTCTAACTTTCAGTCAAGCTTAAACGGATATCCTATCTTTCCTTGTAACTCATCTTTCTTTTCATGGATATTAGTTTTTGTTTCTACATTTAAACAAAATGGTAGCATGAAAAACTCATTTAGCCAAGTTAACAACCATTAACAAATAGCTTCTAGAAAAGATCAAAGTGAATAAGATCATTTCAACCTTTAGCTCAAGAACAATTCATAAAAATCTACCCAAATATGAAAATTCCTGCCCCATTCTTTGTGATATTGGAACACAAAATTAAGTTGTTTGATTTCAGGCAACGCTACTTTACCTCTATACATGGAAATGATCCTGTTTATGCTGCATTACACGTTAGCAAAACCATATTAATTGAAAAGATGATCATCAAACCTAGCTAGCTAGTTGAATTATTTGTTAATTAAACGTACTCGTGGCTTGCAAATTGGCAGGCCATGCCAGAGGGAGAGAAGATGATCATGAGGGCAACTTCAGCATCGTAGAGGATAGAGAGGTCAAAAGCCTTATTCAAAAGTCCATTTATGCGTTTGGAGAAGGTAACCTCTTAAGTCTCACAAAAAAATAAAAGACTTTTTCGTTAGCGAAATCTCTTTCTACCGGGAGTTCTAAAAGTTTTTTTTTGTGTAACAAATAAATAATCTGAATCGTTCTAGCAACCTATTTTTTCACCACATAAACAACAAATCACAAATTTAACACTTGCAATGGTATACGAAACCAACCGCAAACGAAAAAGAGAATGTTGAGAAAATAACCCAGATGAAGGCAGCTTTGGAGAGTTTAGAATCCAAGTATGGTATCAACAGCCAAGATATGTTCCCTGTAATATCCTTTTATAGATCCCAAAACAAATACAATCTGCACAATCAAATTTCTTGTTATAGCCAAAAGAGAACAATAGTATGCAAGGTAGTGCATCTCAAACATTAAATGAATAATTCAGATAAAATGAAATCACAAAAGAACACAAAAATTTAAAGAAAAAATCTTTATAAATTAGCATCCTGACTGCTTTGGATCCAAAAACTTTTAGCACAGACAGTGCACTGCAATTTATCTAAAATAAAACCCTAAACCTATGAAGGCAGCGTCTGTAATTTTTCTTTACTAAGTTATGATAAATAATAAAATCTAGCAATGAAGTTCCACATGCATGTGTCCCTGTGTTACATTCTTCTTCTCACTACTTCTTTTTTATTAGAATTATGTGTTGGTTGTTGCCCGAACAGAAATTTCAATTGGTTAGCTTTGAGGGCTGGAAATAATATTTTCCGAGCAAGAAAACAGAGGCAAATAAATAAAACTGTCGGTCGAGTGCAAGTTGTATCCTAAGAAATTCTTAAGCCAATGTAATTGGCTTCAAAATTCTAGGTTCTCTTCAGATAAAAATTTGGTTATTGTTTCTCTCTTTCGTGCAAGCTTACACCACTAAAGGAAGCCAGAGATTTTTACCTTTTACCTTTTACCTTCGGTCTGAGATCCTCAAGTGTGCGCTCTGCAAGCGGTTTCAGAAAACAAAAAGCACCGTTTCCTGAAAATAAAAGGAAAATTATACCATAAACCCACACTGAGCATCTAAACACATAAACCAAATAGCCAAAATTTGAAAAAAAACAAAAATTTAAACAAAAGTTGTATCTGCAGACCAAAGGCCACCAAAAAATAAAAAATAAAAATTCTTAACAAAAGACTCCAAAGGAAAAACAAAAATTGTATACCCTCAGCACAAAAGGGCTACCAACGCTGCACACAACAGCTGCAAAATTTGATGACCAGCGCTTCCTGAAAGAAAAAACCGAATCAAATTAGACAACCAGACGCAAGATCGAAGCACACAGACATAACCCCTAAAATCACAAATAAAAAAAAATTCCAAACACAAAATCCAGCTGCAAATCGAAAACCACAAATCCAGAAATTAAATAGGGACGCTGAAAAAGACCTAAAACTCTCAAATGTATTCTTATTCCACATATCCCGCATACACGAACCTAACTTGCCACTGTTCACCTCCCCCACTCCTCCCTCTCTCTTTATCTCACTGCAATCCCGACGATTTCTCTCACTGTCACCCTCTCCTGGCATGGATTAATAATTACCTCAACAGCTAACGGAGCCAAAGCCAAACTCCAGAGCTTCGAAGGGTAGGATCAGAGAAACAGGAATAGTTCTTGTTCCTTCCCCACTGCTGCTGCTGCCACTTTCTCTCTGTAAAAACCAATTGGAAATTGTTTAGAGAGAGAGACAGAGAGGCGAGAGTGATGACTTCAATGATTCAAATTATATTTAAATTATCTTCTTTAGCTCTAAAACAACAAACCCAGAAGCCTAAGGTTGCATGAATGCAAAACTCAAAAATCCAAATTCCAAAGAATAATTAAAGAAAAACAGAAATATACAAAAATAAAAAACCCAAAAGAAATCAAAACATATAATCAATAAATAGTTAATTAATTAATCAAATAAATACAATACCTGAATGCCTCGTTTGAACGACCCGATGCAAGAACTCAATAACCCGTCACAGCAAGACCGGACATTTTAGAACTGACTGTGTGTCCTGAGTAGAACAGAGTGAATGGTGGTGGTTCTGTGGTGATGTTTCGCCGGAAGCAGCAGCAGCACCGCCTGAAGTATCCCTACTGGTCGAAGCAGCAACAGAAGAAAAAGATGAGGTGGAAGAAGATGGATGTTCATAATCGAAGAGTTCGAAAGGATTTACCTTTGGATTCTTCGGCTTTCAGATGGAGTTTGCTGGTGTGTGGGCCTGCAACTTCGTTTGCAGGCGTGATGTTTCCATGGAATTTCTCTCGGGCTTACATAGAGAGCAAAGCGAGAGAGAAAGCTTTCCAAATTTTGCGAACTCAAGGACTGAGTTTGGTTTTTGACAAAAATGGAGGCCATGGAGTTTGGTTTTTGACAAAAATGGAGGCCATGGTTTCTCAGAGAGATCAGCGAGCTCACATTTTTTAATTCTCAGAGAGAGAAAACTCTCGAGCTTTTGCAGAAGGGGAATTGTGTTTTGTCGAGGTTTTTAGTTGTAGTGGAGCTAACGAAGGGGGATGAGAGAGAGAGGTTCAGCGGCTAGGGTTTGAGTATGGAAGAGATGAAAATTGAAGAGAGCACCTGTTTTGGCTGAAGCACGGCTCACACACGAGGATCAAGAGTCGAGAGATTCAGTGGCAGTGTTGTAAATAGACGGAAATGTCTTACAAAACACTGTTCATATGAATAGTGCAATTTCCCCTCCTACTTTATACTAAAGTAATATGAAGGTATTGGTGTTAAAGTAAAAATATAAACGTACAATTTGCTAAGTAAGTTTGGTGGATACTTATGTGAGTAGTTAGGAAAATTTTTAATTAAAGAATAAAGTGAACTGATAATAAATCAAACAAGAATATTGAATTGGGCCTATCATTGGAATTATTTCCGAAAATAAATATTTCGGGGCCGAGGCATTATAGGAGGAGGGAGAGAAAAAAAAAAAGAGTGAGTTTAAGTTTAAAAACTTACTTTTTATATTTTTAGAGTATAGACTATATTTTTTGAGTTAGTCTTGAATTCAGTTTTTGAAAATAGTCTTACCAAACAAGTTTTTAAGGTCTAAAACTTGAAAATTGTTTTTGAGTTTAAAAAGTTGGATTCAAGTAGAGTACCAAACATGCCTTTAAAGATTCTATTTAGTCCTTCTCCTATAGGAACTGGAGCTCCGCCCCATTAGAAGACACAAAGTCCTCAAATTTAAGTACATACAGTAGTAGAGAGTGGTAGGGATTCCATTGGAAATGCTCTTAAATCTTGATGTTTGTACAAATAACTTGTCACACTTCTTAAGAATTACTCTAGCCATACTAGTAGATTGGTGCGAGCATGACCAGAGAGTGATACAACTATTGACATGATTAGTGTCATGATAATATTGATTCATTTTAATCAAAATCACCTTTTCAGCATGGATTAGAGCAACTCCACCCCTATCCACTTTGCGCCAGCACCTAGCCCATTTATCCACTTAATTGAACAGTAACAGACTTAATGAACAGTAATAGGCCAAAGCATCTCCACCCCAAAAAAAAATGTGCTGGCACCTAGTCTAAAAATGCGCTGGCACAAACGATCTCTACCCCTACAAAATACGCTGGCACCCAGTCCATTTAAAATATTAAATAATTTTTTTATAAAATAATAAAAAAAATAGTTTTAATTTCGGATAGGATTTTTAACCAATCTCGTCACGCCACGTGTCATTATCCGAACTTACTATTTTTTGAATAGATTTTGATGCGAGAATTACTTGACACTCAAATTAAACCCTCGTTTGACAATTGTAGTAGAATGGATAAGTGAGGGATCGTTCTAGACCGGGGATTAGGAGGGCTTGCTAAAACCTTCTAAATTGACTTAAAAAGATAAAAACACAATATAAAACACTATTTAATGCTCGAAGAAAGCAAAACTAAAAATAAGAAAGATTAAGACTAAGACTTCAACGAAATAGGGGGGAATTGGATTTGGACGAATTTAAACTAAAACGTAAAAACAATATAAAACGTTAAACTAGACTCAAAGAATGTGAAACTAAACGTTAAAACACTAAGACAAACCAAAAGAATCAAAATGCTTTAAAAACACAAACTAAATTGATTTCTAACTATATTGCACATTAAAGCAAAAGGGGGATTGAGGTTTGATGAAAATTGAAATAACGAAACAAGAATGTAATTGATGAAATAAGATGGTTGGTGAATTAGCTAGAGGTTCTTTCTCCACACATGATATTTATGCATATGAATCAATTTCCAGTTATTCCTTCATTGAATTATGAACGACAATGCCCCAAATTAACCGTGACATCACTAGTTAACCCTCAGATTTTCCTTATATTATTGGATTGGATGGCATCATTCGACAACCCAAAACATTCTTAAAAGTTCCCTACATGTCATCATAATAGAGATACAATCGAAGATCATTAAGAATAATGAAAACCATAAGCATTGACAAAGCACTTGCAACTATGACATCATGTTACTCATGCTAAGAATTAAACTTAACGCGATCGTGACAAGCGACCTTCACTACTTTCAAGTATAAGTTAGTAACGATTATGTGAAACCTTCTTAAACTTTAGCCACATATTCATGCATGCTAATTAAGTGTCGACCCTCAATCAACAAACACAAATAAGTTAATCATCAAATAGTTAAGCCAATTGCATTCACGAATCAAGAGTTCATAACCGGAATTCATCAATTCATATTACATAAATAATCATGGTATTGAAATCACCCCTAGCTAAAAAGGGTTTAGTTCCTCATAACTTTGAAATCAAAGAAACACCTAAACATTCCAACAACTCAAACGTGAATTGTATGAACGTTTAGGCCCTCTTATCTTCCATTCCTCATATTACAAAACAAAGAGAATTGAATTTAAACTTTGAAATCAAAGAAACGCGTAAACATTCCAACAACTCAAACGTGAATTGTATGAACGTTTAGGCCCTCTTATCTTCCTCTTTATTGTGGCACAAGAACTAAGGGATGTTGTAGGTGTGTTGAATGGATTGGGGGATTATGGAAATGGATGAAATGGAGGAAAAATGGAAGAAAAACTCACGGCTAGGGAGAAGATGGAAGTGTTTGTGGTGTGTTGTGTATGAAATGAGATGATGAATGAATGAATGAATGCAAGGGTATTTATAGGAGTAGTGAAGGGAACATATAGGGAGAGAATGGATGGGAGAGCATGTGAATGATAGCTAGGAGAATGATTAAAGGGGTGTGAATGGTTGGAAATGCATGTGGGTGAATTGGTGGTGCAATGATGAAAGAATAAGTGCATGTGTGTGTTTTGTGTTGGAATGAATGTGGATGCATGATGAAAAGTTAATAAATAATGCATGTAGGGTTAGGAAATAAAATCATAATTTAAAGGGGGGATGATTAAAGGATGTGGCTAGGTTGGAAAGGTGTGGAAGATGGATGGAATTAGGGGGAATGTATGGCAATGATGGGGAGTTCTTTGGTGATGAATGCAATGATGAAGAGTGAATAAATAATGCATGTAGGGTTAGCTAGGTTGGCTTTGTTTGGGTGCATGTGAGTTAAAGAGGGAGAATGTGGTGAAATGATGAAGTAGGAAGGTGGAAATGCATGTGAATGCATGTGAGTGCATGTGTGTGTGAATGGGTGTTTCTTGATGGTTTTGGGGTTGTGATGCATGTGAATGCATGTGGCTAAGGCTTGTTGATTGGGCTAGAGGTTTTGCATGGCTCAAAGGATTGTTTGATTGGGCTAGGCCTTTTGTTTTATGTCCAAAGTGCATACAAGGCTTTCAAATTCGTCCAACACTTTGGCTCCAAAAATATGCTATCCATTCCAAGCCCAATTTTGCTCCAAAATGCTCCAAAATGCATCTTTTTGCTTCCTTAGCCATATGAACCTAAAAACACACGAAAATGGCTTAAACTACTAAAACAACTATGAATTAACAACATAGATGCACGAAAACAAGCTAAGTAAGTCACCTAAATATGCTCCTATCAAATTCCCCCACACTTAGTTTTTGCTAGTCCTCGAGCAAAACAAAATAATAACAAACAAACAAAACGACACTAAACAAGTAAAACACAACCTAAACCTTCCAACAACCGCCTTAGGGATTTCCAATGCACATGACATGTTAAAAATCATCATTCCCACAGATTTTAGTCATCTTCACACTTAAGTACATTCTTAATCATAGTCACCACATACTATTTCACAATTAAGCATTTAAAACCATGTTTTGAATGTAGTAACATGCCTTAGAGAATTTGCTCAATTCCTTACAAGATATGCACTCGATTTTCACTCAGATTTTCTAACTACACACCCTAATCTAGTCATATGTGAGAAGATTGATGTAAACATGAAAACGAACACTCACATATATGTATCACAAAGAACGCAATTTCTGGAGTTAATAAGCATGTTTAGATATGATCTCATGAATGGAATGCTACTACTTAGACGCGAGAACCAGTGACACCATATGCTCATACCAAATTCAAACTCCACAATTGAAATGCACAACACTCAAGATAGAAGTCAAGGGTTGTAACGGGGCTTGGGATATTGGCTCACAAGGAAAGGTAGGGATAAACAAAAGTTCTTTAAACAATAGCAAGCAAAGTAATGAAATTAAGGCTTAGAATTCACTTGGCATGCAGAAATCAACTTTTAGACATAAGGGGGAGATTCAACAACTCTTAGGGCCTAATTTATTGTTTTGGGCCCTTACTTCAACCAACAATACTTTTCAACTTTTTTTTTTTTTTTTTTTTTTTTTCTTTCTTTCTTTCTTTTTGGCCGTGCCTATGGCACATCAACTCACATAAACACTATTTCCCCCACACTTATTTTCTGCAATACCTTAATCAAAAGGAATTCATTGCTTACTATGCTTCAAGAACAAGGGTAAGGACGGTCATATTCTAGGTTAGGTGAGGATAAAGTGGGTTAACAAAGAACATGGGCTAACATGGCTCAACGGGGGTAAAACTTACAACATATACGAAATATGGGAAGTGAGGCTATTTGGCTATGGTGGCAACTACACAACTTCATCTTGATATATGTTATGCAAATCAATAACATGCTTTGAATGAAATGGGCATGAGTTCTAGCATTTGGAACTATATGATGAAA